GAGAGAGAGAGAGAGAGAGAGAGAGAGAGAGAGAGAATCGATCGACGCAGGTAACAATATCCTTGAGACTCGAGAGGCGTAGTAGTTAGCGCGCTGTTTGCCGTGTAATAGTAACGATGTTTATCGATCCTGTTATCGGGAGTACACTCGCAAATGCACGCTGGTTCCACGAGTTCGAGGACGATCGGTACGAAGACGTAAATACACTGGCGTGCGACGAAGAGGAAGAAGGAGAGGGGAAAAAAGAAATTGGCAGAAACGAGGGAGAGATCGATAAGGGCCGATGTTGAAATAATGCGAATGCCGAAAGGACAGCGATGCTTGATCGGTAACCAAGCGAGTTTTTCACGAAATTCCATCGTTGACACAGACTGTGTAATTACTCGACGCGTATTTCTTCTCACTTCTCGTCCAACGCGCATCATTATCTTTATCGTTGTTTTTGACATCGTGGCACAACGATCTCTGCTGACATCGTTGAAAGGATCGGGATAACATTGTCTTTCTGGCTTTAAGCCACCTCTTATTGCGTAGGATTTCCCGAGACTGAGATCGTGTTCTTTCTTTCTTCGGGGCACCTGCGTGATTTACGCTGCGCCGCGAAGCTTTTAATGCATTGCAAGGCCCGGCACAGTGGCTGTTCCTTCAATTATCCTAAGTGGCACGTTCTGTTTTCGAAACGGGGGGAACAAAGAGAAGCGAGCCCGACGGCTGTGTTTGGCCGACGTTGTCCAAATTCGATAAATTTAGAAGCCGGCGATTCGAGAGCTAATCCTTCGGTTGCGTCACGCTTGAATAAACACCGTGCGAGTGTCCACACTCAGGAATCAAACTGGATCAACTATATATTTTGTAAATCAGTCTCTTTGCCTCGTCTCAGATAAGTGCACGAGTGATATCACGATCCAAGAAGATCGCCAACGTATCCAGAATTGAAAGATGTATTGTCAGTTGTCTATAATTTTTCTTAGCCATTTCATTCAACTTTTTAAAGGATTGGAATAATTTCTAAAGCATAACAAGTGAAAGCTTGTGTCACGAAGTCTCCATTGTGTTACAAATGTTTTGCAATTTTTTTTTTCGGATACTCGCGTGGGTGGTGGGAATTTTGCGGCTTCGCACGACATCGAACGTTATTCGCGAGATGCATAGAATATTTTCGGTAACGCTTTTAGGCAAGTCCCGTCAGAGCGTAATTAAATTCCGCACGCACGAGATTTATCCGTGCGGAGGTAGAAGTGAAATAACGAGGCGAGCCGACGACGGACGACGGCATCGAGGTTGAAAACGATGAAGATCGTCACGAACGTGGGTCGTTGACATCGTCCTGTGATTTTCCTCGACGATCACATAGATGCACCTTACACGTGTGTGCACGTGCCCATTACGTCGGTCTGCCTACCCCGTGTTGACGGGCTGAAGAGAGGGGAGAACCCCTCACCACCAGTTGCATGTGCGATTGCAACTTCACCCCCACGCAATTATCCCATCCAGTAGTCGAGCTTCTATAGATAGACCGATATTACTCTTTCTCACATATGTACACACACACGCGTTCTCTCTCTCTCTCTCTCTCTCTCTTTCGTATCGTGTTATTTCCTTGCTCCTTTTCTCATCCAACGGGGGCCGTTCCAACGCATTTTTCCCCGCTTTATCTGCGAGCTCGAGGTTGACTCTTCGGCACGCTTCATTTCGCGGGGATAATTGTCACCGGCTCGCGGCCGTATTATTCCGTTTGTTCGTGCGCGCCGTGGCCGTAAATTTCATGTTTACGCGATCCACGGACTGCAAGTATCATCACGTAATGAGAGTACATAAAGACATGTAATTAACGATATATCCCCAAGTGAAATGAGCCTCCTTTATTTCACAGAGAGACGCAATTGATTCTCTTAAATAGGAATCTATCTATCTCTTAAATAGTTTATTCGTAGTCGCGCAGAGTTTTATCGCGGCGCGTTATCAGTGGAAATAGATTTATTGGGACCTGTGACGAAATGACAGGATCGTGTTGTGTGATAAGTCGTAGAGAGCGGAATAGAAATTTCTAGATCCCTTGAATCTCTCTAAAATGAATCGTTCGAATCGAATGATCGAAACGGCACAGTAGAGAATGAGAATGAGAATGAGAGAGAAAAACAAGAAAATCAATTGGCGATACACGCGTTTATTGTTTCGGTTCTATTTGTTCATTGCTGCGCCGCCGGGCTGATAAATCTTTTTATTCAAGAGGACTTTGTACGGTTCGACGCCTCTTCGGTGCCGGCCATTGTGGAAAAATGACGATCGAGCCGCGGCTGAAAACTGCTGGCAGTGGTTTCTCCTCCGTTTCGCTAGTCGCAACGCGGTTATTTAAATATAGCCACGGTTTTTCGTGTGAAAAAGTCGCGCGATAACGGGCGCCGTCGCGACTTTGTTGTGATTCGTCGGCCATGTAGGATTCGACAAACTGTTTTTGTATGTCTGCTGCTGCTGTAACATGAAGTATATCAGAAGCTTGTGCGCATTGTTAGAAACTGGCTCGGGGTCTTGGACTTTGTCCTGCGAGATAATATTATTATTTTAATGTTATATCATATTAGATTCGTTGCGTTCAAGTTGATAAGTCTGCAAGTTGTTGTAGAGATTTCTTTTTTTTTTTTTTTTGTTACGATATAATTAGATAACTCGTATAATTGGGGAGATCTCTCTCGTTTAGTTGTCAAAATTACTTCGTTCGATTGTACTTTATTCTTACGTATTCAACTTGTACTTTAAAACTTGCCTCGTTTTTTCTCTAGAAACAGATAGTTTAATCATAAGCTTGTACAGTTTCTTTAAAAATATTGTAGTTCAAACTTTGTATTAATAAGTTGCTCACCTCGTCTGGAAATAATAATTCAATTCTGTAAGGAATAACCCTCGCGTAACTCGTAAAATTCTCTTTTAAAAATATTGAAGTTCAGTTCTGTTTGAAGATTTCTATATGTGCACACACACATACGCACACATCGTTCGTGCTCAAAAGATCCAACTGATTTGAATCTTTCTTCATTTGCAACACAATCCATTATCGATTCCATCTCGTGGTTATTCATCGTTTTTAGAAACTTTAGAGATTACGCGGCTCGCCACCATCGTCGAAGAATCATAATGTTGTTGATGACACGATGTATCGTTGCACTTCTGCCTGAACTTGCAGCCTTGAACTCCGTGTCACTGTCCGAATTAAATTATTTGCCCCCTGCGAATTCGTTATCGCGCGGCGAGGTGTCACTTTATCGTCCACCGACAATAAAGTTTTTATTTCTGTTGCCGACGGGTTCGAGTTTAACTGATGAAAAGACGGATTTTCGATTATGCCTGTTATCAACAGGTAGCAGCTGTTTCATTGGCTCTAAATGTTGCATCTAATAGAGTATAAAATAACGTGACATTTATTTGATCTAACAGCGTAACTACCAAAATGGTCAAAGTGACCAATTTATAATTTTTGTCACGTCTGGCTCTTCTACATTTGTAAATGTTGCATCTAATAGAGTATAAAATAACATTTATTTGATGAAATGACATTTCAAAGATGAAATGAATATAAAATGGCATTTATTTGATCTAACAGCGTAACTACCAAAATGGTCAAAGTGACCAATTTTATAATTTTTGTCCGACATTTTATAGGCAGTGTATTTTTAAAAAATTTAAATAATTTTCCGTAAGATATATAAGTAGCAGCTGGTATACGAATTTTTTCTATTTTTTCGAGTTCAATGTTCCTGATGGAAATTTCATGGTTTAATCATGGAAAAGAAAGTTGAATCTTCGATGTTAAAGTTCTCTTGTATTTTTATATATTTTTGTTAGTGTAAGCGTAATTATCAGTACGATGAAACTAAAATTAGTAAACTCGATTTACTTGAAATCTCCTGCCTTTCGTTTCTCTAAATGCGAAGAATTGAATACGGAATGTTATACGAGCACCAATTACAGAAACCATTCGTCTTCTCGAAGAAAAAAGATAGTAATTTATTCGACAGACAATCAAGAAACCCGAAGAATAATTAGAGGTGATTATTTTCCAAGTCGTCCGTTTTAAATCCTTCGTGTTAGGTTTATTACTGTTTGAAACACTTGAAAAAAATGGCCAAGAAATAATAAAAGAAAAATTAAAGGGGAAAGAAAAAAAGTTATTTCAGTGTGGTATTTTTCAAAGAGAATGATCAAACTTCTTTTCTTACAAAATATATAGCAGTTTTATTACTTCTTATTGAGATTTGTTCTTATTGAGATTTGTTTTCAAAGTAAATGGTAATCTTTTATTTCACAGTTTACACGTCAATAAAGTATTGGATTGAACAATACAGATAATAACTGCGGTACAATTTTTCGAGATCCGTTGCGTCCGAAATATCGACACCGAATGTGTGTTCTTCGGTTCTCAGGTAGCAATGCAGGAGGTCGATCATCAGCGGTGACAACAGGATCGGTTCAAAGAAGCACCGTCACGTCGAGCAATCGCGCGCACTCCGCGACAAGGAGGATCAACCGTCAGCAACAGCAGGAACAGCAGCAACCACAGCTACAGCAACAGCCAAGGATACCCTTGGGATCCTTACGAAGCTCGGATGAGCACGGGTCAAGGGCCAGCTCGGCACAGGACAGTTGCGATAACTCGAACGACTCTGGGCTCGGCTTCGAGGACCGTCAACTGCACCTCACGAACGCAAACGTTAGTCAATTACACTGTCGTTTTTTAATTGATTCGAGAGGCCGAGCAGAAATTCTCACGAAACATCCCCGTGAAATTAGCAAGCCTCGTTTCCTTCGTACAATTAGTTTGTATAATCGAACTCGTGTTATCGAATTAATTGAAATTATGAAATTTTTATCGGAGCAATTTCTACTCCGTTTAATCCTTCGAGGACGTAGATTTAAATTGCAAGAATAATAGTAATTAAACAGGGCTTAATAATAACAAGTTTCAAGTGGCGGCTGTGAATGCTGGACTTTTTAAAAAGCTAGTAATTCTAATGAATTTGACAAGTCACAATTAACGGATTATAA